CATCGCTACACTCATCTTTCGGTATATTTTCTTCATCCGATATGTTATCTTCAAACCAGTGTTCAATAATGGAATCGTTTAAAGCCATTTTCACCTTAAGCCAATAAAAAAAAATTGTCACACAAACACCTACCATCCGTCTCTGAGACACTCGAAGATAGATTTTTACTTACCAGGAAAAAATGGCGCGCATCTCAAACCTCAATAAGTGCTTACGCAACACTGATCGGTGCGAGGAAAAGGTACAGGAAAGCACAGGTTCGTAAGACGCATACACAGCAAAATATTTACGACTTTAAAATCGCTTCCGTCTGTGAGACGGGAGGTAGGTGGTTAAGGGTTAAATCTCACTACAGTACTTCTTATTGCTCGCATTTCTCTCCTGCCTCTGGTGACAGTCGGCCGCGGTCTTCCTCATGATGGATGTCTTCTTTCATCATCTGTTACTTCATGCCTCATGGTGAGTGTTTCTTTATATAGCTAATTGATCAATTTTATATTATGGACATTAAGTTCTTATACCTATTTAGTAACATTTTTAGTTTTGTTTGATATTATTATTTATACCTTGTGTAGTACGTGGTAGGAGTTTTGAATTATTTTCTAAGCGTAACTTTGGATGCAGGATTTAAAACGTAGTCGTTTCGATGGCTTACTTTTTTTTAATATATTTTGCTCACTTTTATCTTTATAATTTTAGGCCACGCCCTTAAATGCGTCTTCTTGTAAGTCGAATAGTATATTAATAAATATATAATCTTTAGATAAAATAGTATCATTCGTAACATTATAGGACTCGTAAGAATATATGTAATAAAAGGGAATTTCATTAAATTCAAATTAGCCGCGCTTCGCGTGTTTGTAACTTGTCGACCAGGGACGCGTCACTATTCACTAATGGCGAATTGTGTTTAAGTTTTGTGCACTTTATGATTATTAAAACATGTAGAGAGGTTAACTAAGGGATATAATTGAGGAGGCGATATTAGTGGACTTTAATGACGTTTCTTTGTATTTTCAGGTAAAGTGTAATTGTCATAATTAAACAATAATTGTTATAATATTGTGAAGGCGTGTCCAGTAAAATCTTTGTATTTTCAGAGAAACAAATAGTGGTTTGCTTTGAGTGCCCTTGATAATATTCCTTATATATATAATTCAAGATGAGGGTCGAAGCTGTTGGTGGAGCGTCTGTTAGGACGTGGTCTGCGGACGAGAGGAAATCTTTTATGAAGAGAAGTGTATGTAGCCGATGTACGATAGTAGTGTGACGGTATGTACTGTTGAATATTTAATATTATTCTGTTATTATTCAGAGTTAGGTTGAACTATTTTACTGTCCATTTAATCACTTTTATTATTACTTATTACATTAATTTAACGTTTCTGACACAATGATTTCACCCGTGATATTGTTATTTGAAGAAATGCAATAAATAATATTATCAATTTTTTCAAATTAAAAGTAACCTCACTAACTGTTTAATACTATCTTAAATAATTCACAATACTAAGTATTGTAGCTCCTTATTGTTATTTGATTGTTTCCAACACATCCATACGTTATGGCTTACTGATCTACAGAAAATATTTCTAACGCTTGTTTCTTAGCTTCACTTGTATGTTGGTTTGTATGTTTGTAACTTCTTACCTGAAATAAATAATAGTAATTATAACTATAACTAGCTCTTCCCCGCGGCTCCGTCCGCGTGAACATGAGTTGTTCTCTATCACTAAGGCCACTGAACCTGAACTGCTTCCACTTCATGGTTCCACCCGCGAAATGTTGGGATCGGGTAATCGGCGTCATCTATCTTCATACAAAATTCATCACAATCGGTTCAACGGCTTAGTCGTGAAAACATACTCGTAACATACAGATAGACAGACAGTTACTTGCCCATTTATAAAATTAAGAGGGATTTGGAAAATAATTGCTATCACTTATAAAAATCAGGCAATTCATGATACAAAAAAGGATACATATCTGTTGTTAGCAAAATAAAAACATGGAAAATAAATTAATGTAAAAAACAGTGTTAAGAAATACTAAACTACAAAGTTGTTTTTATTAAATAATTTATATTAAAGAGGAATGCTAAATGAAAGAAGTTAACTTAATTTAAAAAAGCGCGATGTATCTTTAGACTTTAGAATATAAGGGTACACTTATAAATATCAAGTCGTGAGAGGCGAGTGTACACCGTGGGAAAGAGTACGTATCCATGTGTTTGAGCCTAAAATGAAGAGAATTGCTCACATGTACCAACATAGTACACATCTGCCTTATATGGCTTAACTAGCTTTCAGCCCGCGGCTTCACCCGGGTCGAGTACGGTTATATCGCGTTTCCAAGAGAACTTTTCAAAAGTCTGGGATAAAAAACTATCCTATTTCTTTCTCAAGGTCAACTCTATATCCGTACCAAATTTCATTAAAATCAGTTCAGTGGTTTAGACGTGAAAGCGTAACAGACAGACAAAATTACTTTCGCATTTATAATATTAGTTTATAATATTAGTACGGTTTAACAGAATAGTAATATCTAGCACTCCGCGATCTTTAACACCAAAAGAATCCCTTTTTTGATCAAAATATTTATAATCTGAATTATATAAATTTAGACCTTTTTAGATTGATACTTTTTTTTATTTTTTTTTATGCTAGTCCCTCTGTCGTGGTCAGAGACCTTTTGTTCTTCAACACTTTCATGCTAGTTCTCTCTTTTGCTAGGGCCTTTCATTCCTCATACTATCTTTCTGTCATACATCTCTTTCATTCCTAGGTTATACCTTTCCTATCGTGTTCCTGACTTTTATTCTATTATACTATTTTCATCTTTTATTTCTTATTACATTGTCCTTGATGACTTTTCATACGTTTCCAGTTTACTCTTATCAATTGCGAGAATTCTATTTTACAATTTATTTTTCATTTTTCACTATTTACAATTATTTGCCCTGATCCTATTTACATTTTACATTTATCTTAATTTTTACATTACATTTAAGTAACGACATATTTAACATTTTAACATTAAGTATATTTAATGTTTGGTCATTCATTGTTATTTAAATGACTACATTGTATTGTTATTCTATTTCAGGAGTTCCGCCGACCAGGAGCTCGTCTTTTTGCTCTTCCTTGCTGATTGTTCCGGACTCCATACTGTCACTGACTCCATACTCAATCTGCCACACAGCGGATCTGGTGCTGCTGGTGAGTGTTCTCCTATTAACCTTCGATTCCTTAGCCATTAAGTCATTTACGGTTTGGTTCCTGCACCTTTGAGAGCACCTCCTCCAAACATTAGATTGCTATTTTATAAGCGAGTATTATTGTAAATTTTTTAAATATTTAATTATTTATTTTAAGCCAATCCTTGTAGTGTCTGTTTTTGTATGTCTTTATATAAGAACAATATTGTATTATGTATTACAGATGGTGTTATTGGACTGTACTTGAGATTCATCCATCAGGAGATGACGGCTGATCATCAAGTGTTAGATGAAAACTAACAATGAACCAAGTATTGATGAAACATAGAGTTATATGAAGAGGAGAATGACTCGGTTAGTGTAACATATTAGAATAGAGAAGACTTGAAGTATCAACTGTAGCAGTCTCCAGACAATATAAGGAGTGTGTTCACTATAAACATGTACAGTACGTGTTTGATGTGTCTATTGATATCAAAGAACCTCCTGGAATGTACTTATACATAGAAAGATAATTAATTTTAATTTATTTAAAACAATTTTGTATTTGCACATCTTATTCTCTAACAACCATTAACATAACTAAGTCTTAGCGGTTCAATGAAGTATGCAGTATAGAATTTAGTAACAACGAGAGATATAAGAGTGGTGGATAAGATAGACTGCTTTACTTTTTGATTGTTTAAAACCAGGCCACTTAATGAAGTGTTCAAAGTATACATGTTTGTTGTCCATACATTTGTATAGAGCTCTCCTACAGAAACATCTTCCTCAATCAAAGTACTCATAGTTTCACTACCGTCGTACGTTTTCACTACATGGTCTGTCCATTGATCATGAAATACATGTTTATTTAAATGAATAAGACTCGCGACAATCTTATATCTCTTTACTTACATGTTTGTGTTAAAATACATATAAAGGTAATTGTAAAATAAGTAAATTAAATGATATTCAAACGAGTCTTTGTATAGGACGCCACGTGTTAAGACTGATAACAATATTAAAATATTTAATGAAGGCTAATTCTAAAACGGATGTTTGTAGTGTAGATGACTGAGGTGTTCTGTTCGTGTTTTATAATATCTAACCTCCATCCGGGGGGTTTCTCGTCGGCCGTTATGGCTGTCCCTTGACCCTGTCCCCGATGAAGTTCCCTAAAGTTAAGTAAGTTAAGTGAGCAATCTTCAAGCAACAACATTTGACGCACCTAGGGCGCGCTAAACAGAACCTGGCGGAGTGGCCGTAACATTGGCAGCGATGACACTGTCCAGGGATGCCACGGCCGCGGGGAGCTCTACCTGTAAGCCGGACAGGTAGCAGACCGTTTGGATGTTGAATATGGCTTTCACCTCCTTGGTGTTGTCCAAGTGGACAAGCACCATATTGAAAGGTTTCTTATTGGTCGGGCGGTACATCCGGTGTACTGCCTGGACCGGAAAATCTTGTGACTTAAGGTCACTTAATACGGATTCGGTTGGGATCTCACACGGCATCCCGCGGACTACCACCGTAAGGCGACGCTCCTCCTCTAGTGCGTAAGTGTGGTATCCAATACCACGCTCCCGCAGGAGGGCCGTCATCCTACGGTGGTCAGCCGCTGAGGACGTCTGGATTTTAATCCCGTCTTTAGTCGGCCGGGCTGACATAAAATGTATTTTGAGGTCTATGAATAACTGGGACATATGGTCCCACTTATCCTTGTCCTTTAGGTATAGTGGCGGAGGCGCCTTATCCCGCGGTGGTGCGTCGGGAGACGCGGACGATGAATTTGCCGCGGGTTTGGGCCGCTTCGCGACGGGCGCGGCGGGGGAGGGTGGGTTTGGCGTCCCTGAGGGGGACGAGGGGAGAGAGTTAACGGCGGCGGCGGGGGCGTTTGCGGGGGATTGGGGGGCGGAAACGGACGGCGTTTTGCAGGAACGCTTCCTTTTTTTCTTGGCAACGACGGTCGTAAACCCGTCGTTGCTTTCGCCCTCGGGGCCAGGCCGGGAGCCGGACTCCGAGGCAGAGGCCTCGGCCGATGAGCACTCCATGAGGGTGTTGGGGAGCAAGGAATCTGAGATGAATCTCAGAACGAGCTCGGGGGCCTTCTTCTGTAATATATAACTGTGCCTCCTTTGGCTGAAAGGCGGTCGTTCCTAATGATGGTATATTTCCCAATCCGTGGGTTTCTACTACTCGGTTTCAAGAAGGACTCTTGTATTAAAAGTGGTCTATCTATCTATCTAATCTATCTGGTGCTTTACTAAGAAGCGTCTCACCAGTTGTATCTGATGAGAGAGGCCGTTCGCGTTATATGTAGTGACAGTCAGAGAGCGTGGTTTGACGCGGCTAGTATTCATTAGCTTGGAATGCTCCCACGGCACTCAACAAACTCGCATACTGCCATCATGCGTGCTGGTGGATTGCCGTCTGAGGCCCTCAACTTAGCTGCGAAAGTTTGAATTTCCGCGGGGTCAAAAAGGCTCGCGAAGTCACAAACCATTTTTAAATCGGCCTCTAGTCCGACCGTTTTTTTTTTATGTTAGGGTTTTTTTTTCTTGCTGCATCCCCCTCTGACGTGGTCAGAGACTTTTATTTGGTCTGTGCATACGATGCACCTCCAATATTGGTAGTTTTTGGGACTTAGGTCCTCTTTTATTACATCAATGGGAATCTCCGCGGGGAGACCCTTGATGACGACGGTTTGCCTCCGCTCCTCCGCTCCTCCGGAAGGGCGTAGGTGTGGTATTCTAGCTTATTAATTCTTAGCATCGCGGATAACGCGCGATGGTCGTTCGGTGTGGCCGCGGTGACTTTAATTCCCGCCTGTGTGTTACGTGCCGACACGTATTTAATCTTTTTGTCATTTAGGAGGCTGGATATGGCGTTCCAGCTCTTATTAGTTCGAATGTATAACGGCGGCGGGTATTTTGTGAATGTTTTGGGTGCGGACCAAGGTAGACCCGCAGGAGCGGTCGCAGGTGCGCCCGCAGGTGCTGGCACCGGCAGCTGCTGGGGTCAACGGTTTTTTGGTTGGCGGCGGCGCCTTTAGTGACTTGGCCGCCTTCCTTTTACCAGATTTGGTAATGACGGGTTCAAACCCGTCGTTATCCTCTTCTGCGTCCGAGGAGGACGGTGTCGAATCTGTCTCGGCTTCCGAGCCGATTGGTGAGCAATCCATGTCGCATGGATTGCTTTTTGGACAGTCCGGTGAGGCCGGGCTGTCCGTATCAAAATTGGTGGGGTTTATTTCAGGGTTCACCTCGGTGAACTCCCTGTACGCATCAGGATATTTTTTAATAAAGAAAGCTAATAGGGCCTCTAATCGGCCCGAAATATGGTCGCCCACGATGGGCGACGGAGTTTAGGGAGTCCTCCCTGCAAGGCAGGGAGGTGTATTAACTTATTTGACTTTAATCTAAACCCTGTTATTAGGTAACAGGGGTGTACCTACTTCCCTATCGACTGTGTAAGTACCTTGGGTGGCTGGACAACGGTGACTACTCGACGATGGCCGCTACCCTTTTCCTGACACTGCTTATCGACGCCGGACACGTCGATCTTCTAGCCTCTTCTGCAACTTTATATCACCGCATCGGGTCATCTCAGGCCCCTGTAGGGGGGGGTCGAGGTGAGCTTGTCGGGGCAACGGCCCCCTAAGCTGGCCTCCACTCCGCCTGTAAAAACAGGCGGGTCATTGTGGTGGGCGTTTGCAGCCCTGGTGTCTCGGTTGGGAGTGTTGCCGCGGCGAGGCGCCGCCCTGAGAGTTATCTCAGGTGGGCTGCCATCAGCCTGCGGCCGTCAGTTCAATGATGTTTGTCGGATATGGTGAGTCGATCCTCTATCCGATATCCGACAGTTGTCAGGTCCTAGTTTCTACTCCTCGCCGCGGGAAGAAGGTCTCGCGGCAGGGCGTATCTGTCCGGGGGGCGGCTGTGGTACGGGGCCAGTTCTCTGATGTGCGGGAAGCTCGATGCCTCTGACCGCCGGAACATGGCCCGACTCAGGCGGATGATGAAGTCGTCAAGGCTCTCCATGCGGAGGTCCCTGGTGATTGTGGTGTTCCGTACGAACCGAGGCGCGCCTACAAGTGTTCTCAGTGCCAGCGACTGCTGGACGCGCAGGCGTCCACGCCCGGTTTCCTTAACTAAGGAATACCAGGCGGGCGCGGCGTACGTCAAGCGCGTTCTGATATACAACTTGTAGACGGCCAACTTGGCTCGCAGTGGGAGATTGGATCACAGGACAGGACGCAGAAGAGCACGTGCGGCCCTCGTCTTGTTGACGACTTCCTTCACGTGGGACTGCATTGACAGGCGGCGATCGATAGTCACATCTAGGTACTTAACCGTCGCCGCCCAAGTAAGAGGCTGTCCCATCATGGTAAGGGGCTGCGGTAATGGCCGCATCCCCATGGATATCGCCTGGGTCTTCGCTATATTTACAGTGAGGCGCCACTTGTCCAACCACGGGGGGAGTTGATCCAGCTGCCGCTGCATCTTCGTCGCCGCGTGAGTGGGCGACAGCGAGGTGGTGATGAAGGCAGCATCGTCGGCGTACAGCGCCAGGATCGCGCCCTCCGCCACCGGAATGTCATCCGTGTACCTGGCGTAGCACACCGGAGACAGGCAACTCCCCTAAGGCACACCGGCTCTGACTAGGCGAGGCGTAGACAGGGTGTCTTCCACCGACACCTGGAATCGCCTGCCTTGTAAAAAGGTGGCCACAATCCTAACTATTCGGCGAGGAGTAGTGGATGTGGCCAGCTTGTACAGTAGACCGGGATGCCATACGCGGTCGAACGCCTTCTCCATATCGAGCATCACTGCAACGGCCGATTCTTTTTTATTAAGAGCTACCTAGAGGACGTGCAGGACCCTCGCGAGCTGGAGCGTGGTAGAGTGTTCCGCTCTGAAGCCGAACTGCTCGACACGTGGAGTGATGTGAGGCGTCATATGACGCAGAAGAAGTTTCTCAAACACTTTTGAGACGGTGGGTAGTAGCGTGATAGGGCGATAGCTCCCAGGTCTTAGGATGTTCTCCCCCGGCTTCGGTAGCATTATGACTCGGCCGAGCTTCCACTGGGTAGGGAAGTGGCCGGTCCTGAGGACTCCGTTGTACAGCCTCGTCACCGCCGCTATACCGCGAGCGGGGAGGTGACGGAGGGCTTCATTTGTTATTCCATCAGGACTTTATATCACTTTGTATCACTAACACTATAACTATCGTTTGTTCGCGAGCGAACCGAGCCGCCGTTTGGCCAATCACTGCGCTCGCCTTACCCGAGCGAGCTTCGTTACAATTTTGTTGTTGTTTTTATACATAATTCTTTACATATAAAAGGTTGTTTCATTATTAATATCTCTGTGGTACATAATTTTACATCGTATTTTACATCTTATATTCTGTTTGACTTATTATTATTATAAGACTTTATTATTCTTATAAGGGCGCTTGCTAAAAGTGAGGCTCGGACCACGATCTTAGGACGTCGTGGATCAAGGGGGGATTGCCAGCGGCGGCTTCCGACGCCCTCTCGCGAGGGATGTGCGGAGGCGGGGTGTGTGTGTCTGTGTGTAGTGTGACGTTCCTAGTCCCCTATTGCTACTATTAAAACTATCTGACGACGGGATCACTGAGCACGTGCTTGAGGCGTCTCCTAACACCCTCATGATATCTATTTGGGAGGAAGGTCATCACTTCCTTCACCAGAGGATTGGGATAGTGGTACCACGGGGCGCCCGTGATCGTGAATAGGAAGCAGTTACAGAGAGTCTGAAGGGGTTTCAGAATCCGATGAGCGAATGCTACGCTAGCGTAGGACCAACACCAATCTTGTGCAAGTTTTACACGTACAAACACTTCGAACTTCTCACTAACATCCATCCGTTTTACACGTTCCATTTAATATGATATTTTTATTTAAATTTAAGATGCAATATGATTTTTCGTAAAATAAATAAATATAAATTTATATAGCTTACATTGATGTTGAGATGTTTAAATTCACTATAGTCTTTACGACAAGTATGTGTACAGAAATATATCATAATTATCATTTCTCTTTCATCGTTAATTGTCATATATATGTAGTTAGGTGAACTAGTAAATAAAGACTGTACAAGGAAGATTGCTCCACTTTCATAACTGTAATAATGTAATAACAAGACTAAATGCAGACTTTTTCATCTCGTCTGTTCGTGATTACTGCTACTAAAGAGAAGCCGAAAAGTCTGTTAATATGTAAAATATCAAAATAAATATGTTGTAAATCCAAGTCTTAGTTTCATTTAAACAGAACTATATATTCATTGGCTAAGTGATTGGTAACAACGCCATATATTAAGTAATTTCTTTGTATTCTAATTTATTCTAGAACTGTTCATTGATAACTATAGAAGATAACCCCTCAGTATATTTCATTTCGTCAACATTGTTATAGCCCTGTCCCTGACACACAATTTTTAAATTTATGTAAACGATACCGTAGACAACAACACAATAAGATATTTGTATATAACATATATTCTCACCAAAAGAGATGATCTTAAGCTTTAGCATCTATTTCTCTATTACTAATACTAAACACGAAGATAAATACCTAATTGGGTTTTAGTTTCAAGCCAGACACACGTGTACATATTTTAATGAAACTTTAGTTTTTCTGTATAAATGTAAATCAAGTACAGTCGGAGCATAATATTATAGCACAACAATATTGTTGAGCAAGAGATGCTGATCGGAGTCCTGAATGGATGTCTTAAAGACTTTGAAATGATTAGTTTATGAGTAAAACTGATATTACATGCTAATGAAATCATGTTTGATAGATTATATTCTAGAAGTCGATTATACATAGGTGTACAACTTTGCTTCCGCCGTTTTGCAATAGATGGTTGTAGCGGTAAGTGGTAGTCGAAATAAATAGATCGTAGATGTCATACAATAAGCTTAGGCATCTGTAAACATAACGCTATCGAAATATTAGTCGATTTGTGTCTGCATCATAAAGTTATTCTCGATTAAACATGTCAGCTTACGAGCCAAATTCTCGACATTTGCGGGAGGTTTTAATCTTCTGCTTTAATATGAAGAAATCTGCGGCTGAGGCTCATCGAATGCTCTCAAATACCTATGGTGAGGCTGCTATTAGTGAAAAAACTTGCCTAGAGTGGTTTTAACGCTTCAAGAACGGTGATTTTGATGTCGAAGACCGGCATGGCGGTGGAAGAGAGAAGGTTTTCGAAGATGCAGAATTGGAGGCATTACTTGATCAAGACTCATGTCAAACACAACAAGAATTGGCAGGATCATTGGGAGTGATGCAACAAGCCATTTCAAAACGCCTGAAAGTCATGGGAATGATTCAGAAATAAGGAAATTGGGTGCCGGACGAGTTGAAGCCGAGAGATGTTGAACGGCGTTTGTTTGCTTGTGAACAGCTGCTTGCAAGGCAAAGACGGAAAGGATTTCTGCATCGCATTATGACTGGGAACGAAAAATGGGTTCATTACGATAATCCCAAGCGCAGAAAATTATGGGGATATCCCGGCAATGCTTCCACGTCGACGGCCAAACCGAATATTCACGGTTCCAAGGTATGCTCTGTATTTGGTGGGACCAGCTCGGCGTAGTGCATTATGAGTTGTTAAAACCGACTAAAACAATCACAGGCGCTAGTTATCGAACGCAATTAATGCGTTTGAGCCGAGCATTGAAAGACAAACGGCCGCAATACAACGAGATACATGATAAAGTGATTTTACAGCACGACAATGCTCGACCCCATGTTGCGAAAGTGGTCAAGACATACTTGGAAACGTTGAAATGGGAAGTCCTACCCCACCCGCCGTATTCTCCAGACGTTGCTCCCTCGGACTATCACTTGTTTCGATCAATGGCACACGGCCTGGCTGACCAGCACTTCCAGTCTTATGAAGAACTTAAAAATTGGATCTATTTGTGGATCGCTTCAAAAGATGACCAATTTTTTCAACGCGGGATTCGTATTCTGCCCGAAAGATGGGAGAAAGTAGTGGCCAGCGATGGACAATACTTTGAATCATAAATGTATAACCAGTTTTTTACAATAAAGCCTCGAATTTCGGAAAAAAACGGCGGAAGCAAAGTTGTACACCTAATATTAAATTTATAATAAACTCTAGTTACAATACACAACGGCCTTTTTAAGGAGAATAATTAAAACGATTTTTTTTCGTAAATCTCTTCTTAAATAATAATTATATTTTAGTTTCTACTTCGCTGTAACTGTCGGCCTTGAGTCTTGACCGTGTCACCAGGAGGAGTGGTTGGCCCGACGGGACCTACCCGTTATATACGGGCCCTTCGGGTCTGTAATTAAGGAGTAGGCCCGTCCCAAGAGCGCCTCATCAAGACATCGTTGTAGTTATTTGTTTTGTAACACTTGCAGTTTGTTTATTGTTGACGGACGAGTGTGGGTGAAGCACTCGCTTGCAACGACGTGACAGGAAGTATGCTGGTCTTGTAAAACTAACTTTATCACTTTCAGTATAAAAAATAGTTCACAACCCAAAACAAATTTTCGTATAAAAATTCATAATTGTAATAAAGTAAGAGATAATAAATGCAATTGTCCATTAATAAATAAAGTGAGTCAAATAAAATACTTGGGAATAATGGTCGACCAGAACTTGTCATGGTACCTGCAAATTGAACATGTTGCGGCACGCATTAGGAAGTTCACGTGGATGTTCAAATGACTGAGACATATTGCAGCTAATAATATTGTAAATGACTCCTCAAACAATCTTTAAAATCAAATTTATATAGCTTTGGTGCAATCCATAATAACATACTGCTTACCTATTTGGGGAGGTGCACGTAAAACACGATTCATAGAAATTGAACGAGCTCAAAGAGCATTGATTAAAGTAATGTTCTTTAAAAAACAACGGTTCAGTACAGAAAGACTCTATAAAGAAAGTGGTTTGTTAACTGTACGGAAATTGTATATAATTGTATTCGATACATCGTTACTCAATAAACGTATAGCATATAATGTCATATCCATCCCTGCTACTAAAACAGTCTTCGCTAGGATTCAGTATGATAATAGATCTGCTTACTTATTTATATAATAAAATAAATAAATACGTTGTTATATATTCAAAACACAAATACGCACGCGCACGCATGCATACACATACATTTTAATCCCACATTTGCTTCCTTTATGGTAATTACTTCTGTTATTATTACTTTTTTATATTGTTTCTTTATTATTGTTGTACCTTAAATATCTTGTATACTTGTACCTAATTCGTGATATGGAACAGCGGAGTTTCCTGGCACAGGCTTTTCATATGCTTAAAAGGAGACTCCGACTCCTATAACTTTATATTTAAGTACAAGTTTGTTAAAGAAAATAAAGAATTTTTATTTATTATTATTGTAAAGTGTGATGTTATTACTAAGGGACATTAGACTTGTCAGCATCAGAACTAAACAGCAGGGAACAAATGTGGGGGTTGTTGTATGTATCATTAAAATGTTATCAACTTCATACTCCTCTCATCTTATATTGGCTAACTCTTTGAGCAAACGCATTATTATAGGAAGCTGTAGGTGTGTTTTAGACTACTGAACTAATTTAACCTTTAATAAGCGTCTTGGGTCGTGAATAAATAATAGAAAAGTTGTATTGTTTATATAAATGATAAAGGAGATTGTCCACTTAGTATGGGGACTTGGGCCTGACGTGAACAGATATTTTATCATATTTTTTGTAATTAGTTTAAAAGCACTAACTAGTAATATTGAGAATATGAACTTAATTTTGTATCAATATGTTTAAAAAGAGATATTTGTCATGTGAGAAAAAACAGGTTAAAGCAAAATAAAACAACATTTTTTATGATTTATTTTTATTCTGAGACATCATATGTTATTAATGTGTTCAAGAAATTGGGCAGGTGGTGAAATGTATTCCTGACACCTTGCCCAACTTAAAACCATAAAATAGTAACTATATGAGCGCAGGAACCCACTGTCCTTCGACCAACCATGCAATTACAATAATTTTCTTTTGTAGCTTCCTTACCATTGTGATTATTTTAGTTAGCGATGCAGATAGTTTATGGTTAAAGATCTTTATTCTCATAAGAACATATATAGGTTCACTTACATGAGATTAAATAATATTACATACATACATTAATATTTGATACCTGGAATGGCTAGTACTACTTAATATTGTCTAATATATATATATATATATATACATATATTTTAAGTTTACTTTTAAAAGCATTTAAACATTGACATTCCTTTATGTAGTTTGGCAAATCATTATATAGTTTTACTCCATCAAAACATTATTTTTGTGTCCATAATTTAAGAGTGCCGGGGTCATTGGAAAAAGGTAGGTCGGAGTCCATAATGAATAAACAATCGTTGAAAGAAAATCCACAATAAATCAACACTCTCAATGTAGGTAAACAAAGCGAATTTAAAAATCAGTTTGTGACACACAATTCACAAATGTCAATTTGTATTTTTTTGTTTTTTTAGTGTTGCAATAAAAAAAAACATTAAAAACTCGATC